TTACAATTTTTCCCCCTTATTGATTCTTTCACAATCCCATAATTCATCTCTCACCGATCCTACAAATCATCCTGGGTCACTACTTTAAGCAGTTGCAACAACCATCTCATTGGTAATAAGGGTAGTATCTAAAATTTGCCTACCTCCCATTAAAGCATGTTGAGCTTCCTCCACAACTCTCTCAACCGCCTTGACTCAATCTTTTTTTGAAAAAAAAAAGTGTAAAGAATGATATTCACACAGTACCAAGGAGCTGTCATGCGTATGCTAAAAGTTTACAATTGTGTAAGAATATCGAAAACTCTTCCAAAATCCTCCATCCCTATAATATCATGCCCCAAAAACACGGATCCAAAAAAATGCAACCATCTATCCCTTATTTTGGGTATCTCACCTTCAATACCCTCAAAAGCCCTACTATTTCTCTCTTTCCATAATACCCAAAATACAGCAAATGGAATAAAATTTATACATGGTCTCTCTGCACATAATCCTTCCCAAGCCCATAGTTCATCTTTTACCGACCCCGCCACAACCCAATTTACCCCTAGCAGACCGTAAACAGTTGCCCATAATTCATAAGCTACCGGGCACCATAGTAGAAGATGATTACATGATTCAGCAACTTTCTTACACATGTAGCACCCATTTATCATTATTTTGCCTCTTCCCATAAGTTTGTCAATTGTCAATATGCACTCCTGACTCGCCTCTCGGGTAAAAAAAAGCTATCCTTGGAGGCGCCTTCACTTTCCAAATTTGGTGAGACAGATTGGGACCTCATTCAGCAGAGGTTCAAGAGATATTTATAATAAGACTTAACAGTAAATTCCCCATTCTGTTTCAGTTTCCATTCAATCTGATCCATACCTTCATTCACATGTAATGTCGAAAGAAGTAAAAGCATAGCTTCATATTCTTCCACGTCATTTAGGTTCCTGTTCACATTCACAATCCATTTACTATTGCCATTGGTAACTCTATACGGATCTTCAATAAACATGTTTTTTTGATTGGGCAATGGCATATATTCTCGGAAATTGATTCTTCAACCTACCATCTATCACCTCCTCATCCAACCAAAAGTGAATTCTATTTCCCCTCCCTAACCTCCATTGAACGCAATCTTGCATTTTATACCTATCCATCAAAATCC